GCCACGAAATGGGCTGTGGGTGTCGCTGCTGCTGAGCCAGTCTAGCAGGGGTCCCAAACGCGCGGCCCGCGGGCCAGTTGCCAGGACAGACGGGACATGGGGAGGGGCCCTGCGGCCTTCAAAGCGCCAGCAGCGCTGGCCCGGCCATGGGATGAGAGGCCCACCACCACCGCGGAGGTGGAATCCTTGATGCGGCCCAGCCTCACCCAGACTCTACTTCCAGCGGCCCCCAGGTCAGTTGAGTTTGAGACCCCTGGCCTAAGGCTAGGCGTGCGAGGCATGTCATCTCCTGGCCCTGCATTCTGGGGACTGCAGTTTACAACGTCTTGATTGCATCCAATCTAATCACTGCCCTTAATACTATGGAAGCCCACCTCTGATCAGAGCAGTGCGAGATGTTAGGAACTCGTGGCAATTCTGAAGAGGGGCAGCTTTTCTCTAGTTTTCAGCTCTTCTACATCAAAAGAACCTTGGCAGATTGACTTGGTGGTCGTGGAACCTTGTGCGACAGCTGGAGGAGTGCAGGGCTGTGTCTTGCAAAGCGTACTTGGTTCTTGCAAGATGCCGGCCGACACCATTAGAACTCATTGTCGTCCCCACGTGAAATGGAGGTGCGCCCTAGAGTCCCTCTGAATGCCCCCCTACGTATATCTCCAGAGGGTAGAGGATGGCTGGAAGCTGTGGCAGGCCCTCTTTCAGGAAAGATTGTCTGCCATGACTGACCTCGTTGAGTCGACGGGACAACCACCTGAGGTCAGCCATTCCGCAACCATAATAGGCAAGATCCAAAGCTCCATGCATAGAGTGGGCTCTATGGAAGCGCAGAACAGGGGAGAGGCTGAGCGCCAAAGATCTGCACATGGAACTTGGTGCACAGCTTGGCACCGCTGGTTAGACCAAAGCCCACCACCACTATTTTGGCATCACCACGGACAGGTTTGTTCTCTCCCCAGAAGGAAATGGCTCTTACTGATATAAAGGCGTTATCACAGAGACTGAAATTTCAGCACCATGATGCCATGACGCTGACCATTCCGAGCATAAAAGCTGAGAGGATCTGGGATACTTCCACCAAAGGAAAATGAGCGTCAGGAGAGGTGCCCTTTGGCCATTTCCAAGCTCGCACTGCTGTGTCTCTAAAATAAAAGTTGAAGCACATCCAGGAGAGCAAGCCATTCAGTGCAGGATGCAGCAGCGCGTGGGGCAAATGCTGTCTTTTAACATGGCATGAGAGGGTTTGACAGGAAGCAAATGAAAGATTCAGAAAGAAGAGGCATTTTGGCAGATCCTAACCTAGGCGAGTATTGGGGTGATCCTTTGGTGGAATACTTCTTATGCCGGGGAGTTGAAGGGGGCGGGGGACCCACAATCATATCTATCCTGGCGAAAATAAATGAGAAGAAGAAAGACACCAGCAAAAACGCATAATGAAGCAACAGGTCGGCAAAAGTCGGTAGGTAGGAAAGTTGCAGAGACAGAGAGAACAACGTAAAAAAAATGGTGAGGAGAAAGAAGAAAGTTGTAAATTATATTCTGCTCGAAAGAGAAGGCAGTTATCATATAATTTGATCATTTGGGAGCGCACCAAATTTCATCAACTAACAGAAAGATTGCAGAATTTTGAGCAAAATGGAACCGCTCTTCTTTTCAGAAGGGCGGCTGCTTTGCAATGGACAGGCAACAGGCTATACAAACTGGAACATTTCTGACAATATTCCATTGGAAATGTAGACTCTCGGCTGACACAACACATGGTGCACATTCTCAGCTGGTCTGGGACACACAAGCTTGGAAGGAGACACACACACCCATGGATGGGACAGTACAAGAGACAGAAACAAAGAATAGTTTTTAAAATGTTATGGTACACTTCACACAAGCAGCAACGAGTATCATGAGTGGTGAAGGAGGAAGTGATACGAACACCTCCAAAATTATGGCATTGCTTGTTGACAGCTGAAATTCAAGCCTACCGAAAGCGGTCCCAAACTCCCACCACAGTTTACATGCAGCTCTGTGGTTCTCTCTGCCACCTAGAACACTGGCTTAAGCAAGTGAGAGCCCAAACGGTAGGCAGAGAAGCCCTCCCTGTCCCAGTCTAAACCCTTTCCCTTTCAAATTTGATCTCCATAAGCCGCTTTTAAAATGTACACACATTGTCTTTATCAAAATATGCAAAGGAAATGGGAGTGAATAACATTTTTTTAAATCACCAGTGGGGGAAAAAGATTAGAGTCCCAGTTCTTTAACCCGTGACCTAAATGCAACACAGGGAAAGGGTTTTTTGGACGGAAAAGCAATAAGCAAAGAGTTCTACCCTTCTCGCAGTCAGGATGCTAATCAGCCTAGGCTAATTTTGGTCTAACACAAAGAAAAACACAGCGCATCCTGTAATAGGTTGTTTAAGACACGGTTTAAGTTCAGTCATTTTGCATGGGGCAACATACCATAATATGCATTGCTCTGCCAAGCAGTTTGCCCTCTCCTGCCTCCTCATTTTCTTCACTGAGTGCACAAGTCGGTTAATGGTTCGCACCACTTAGAGCGATGAAACAAACTGGTGCACCAACTTACGTAACTGTACATTGCGACAGATCATTTGGGGAAAGCATGTTTGCATTCATGCATGGCCCTTCCCTCTAGTCTCTGGGGGTCAGATTTGCAGCTGCAAGAGAGTTAAAGGGACTCACAGGTCTTCCCAGCACCTTTCATCTCCACTGACTGGGTTCAAAGCAGTTCTGCTAAGCAGAACTGGAAGTCGTGTTTCAGTCCTAGCAAAGGAAGACGGACATGTTCTCCTTGTGCTGATGCAGCTAGGAGAATGAAGAAGCTTTGCATTTCAAACTAGAAGATCCTTGTTCAGCCCCAATACACTTACATATCTTTTATCCAAAAAATGCAAGAAAATATATTGATTTCCTTCTGCATTTATATACCACCCTAATAGCCCAGAGGGCTCTCTGGGTGGTTTACAAACATTAAAACCCCACCAATCCTAAACAAATAATTAAATTTGGTTTAGTAATCTCAGAGCGAGAAAAAACCAAGCCTTTGCAGAATCAGTCATGTGAGGAAACAGTACACAGTGTTGGTTCCGCTGAGCTGAACCTTTTTCCAGTTTACCTAAGATTTTTCCAGGCAAAGGCATAAGCTATTGTGCTGCTATTCCATTTTTTGTCAAACTAGTTTTGTGGAAAGAAAAAAGGCAGGAAAACTAGGGGGAAATCAGGAGAGCTTCATGATGAAGACTGGATTATCTGGCCTCCTTATGGAAATCTATGAATGAAGCAGGCACTTTGCTGATTTTTTGACTGCAGGACATTGTAAAAACCAACAGCTTAGGAGAAAGCACTGAAAAGGTCTTCAACCCAGCAGGTGCCTCTCTGCCTGACATCTTGTTCTTTCCCTGCGGGCAGCAGGTTGTCACTGCATCCTCTGGATGCTTTGGGCTACAATTCCCATAATCCTTTATTGGTGGCTACGATGGCTGGAGATTATGGGAGTTGCAGTCCATGTGAAGGGTGAGAGCTTGCTCGCACCTGTGCTGAACAGATCGTGGTGGTGGTGCCATGTTTCTGTCATAACTACTTGTGGGTTTCAATCCGTCTGTTGAAGACCAGGAGCTTCCGCTGTGCTGTGATTTTATATTTATCTTTGTTAAATTGATACTGCTTATTTTTTATGTATTCACTGTTTTATACTACACTTGTACCCTGCCCTGAGAGCCATTCTGGCTAAGGGGGCAAGATAGAAATCCAGCAAATAAATACCTCAAAGCAAATAATTTTAATATTTAAAAGAAAGCACACTGAATAAATCGTCTCTTCCATACTCTAGTCTTTTCAGTGGTCAGACTCTATTGCAATCCCATTCTGTTTGCAAGCAGAATTTTACAAACACAATTGTCTGAAGGTCATAATGATTAGGATTAAGTTCAACTGAAGAGAAGATGGATTCCCTCCATCAAGGAAGCCACAGCCCCGAGTCTGCAAAAGCCGAGCAAGAGGACAGGAAATTTGGGCAGGGGGTGGGCTTTCGTTCAGAGGGTCCCCGTAAGTCAGAGGTGACTTGATGGCACGTAAGAGCAACGTGCTGCCCAAGAGCCGAAGCTGTCTGGCCAACGTCAACCATTTTGCTTGCATTTTTGAATGTTCCGTGAGTAGGTGGAGCAGGGCAGAAAAAGGATCTAGCAGACTGTGATAAAATCTACATGAGAAGAGCTTCTTAGAAGATTTTGGATAAACAGGAGAGAGATAAAGGCGCAATTCTATTCAGATATGCTTGACATATAAAGGAACGTCTTGCTACTGAATAACGTTTATCAGATAAGATGCTTCTGTGTCTCATCACATTGACCATGTCAGTTCTGAATAAGTAGCAAAAAAACACACTTTTTGAACATCCTCAATTTCTGTGGCTTTTCCCTGCTTCGGTGGGGTGTTATTTGCTAACTTAAGCCCAATTCATGTCAACAGCTCTACCCTAAATAGGGCTTAGTTTGGACACAGCCCATCAGTCAGAATTCAAGTTTTCTCAATAGGAACAAATTATTTTGTAGCTGGAGAATAAAATTATCTTGAGTCTCTCCCTTTACCAAAAGGGCATTTTCAGATCCCATATATTCAAGTGACAAGGAGTTCTCATTGGACTGTATAAAGAAATACGGCTCTTGGGATCAGCCTGATGTTACCACAGTTCAGAGGGGTTTTTTTCCCATTCACGATTGTGCTCTTGAAAACGAGGAAGCCCATATGGGGCAGAGGGGCTTGGGTAGGTCACTCTCTGCTTATCGTATTCACTGACACAAATGAGAGCTAAAGGGCCAATTTGAACCTCCTGTCCCACCATACAAACCCACGATTACAACCAAGATCTGAACAGTCATTATTCATAAAACCCGCTGGGTCCTAGAGAGGAAAGCGTGTTAGGTGACTATTCTAATGCAAGTCTGATCCCCACCCCCTTGAGTTAGGATAGCAACTGCCCAGCGGCCAGCGTAATTACGGCTGAAAGAGGGGAGACGCTTGCCTGGACTGAAGATTCTTGATCCTGGAAAGCATATCCAGATGTCCGGCTGAATACTGTTCAATGACGTCCATAACATCGTAGGGTCGCAGGCTCTCCTTGAATTTCCGCTTGGAGACCAGAAATCTCATGACACTAAAATAGAGGGACAGGTGATCTGCAGTCAGGGTTCACCTCCGTGTCCCGAAAGAGCCGTCCGTCCCCACGCTGCCCGTGCATTCATTTTGTTTCCACGCCTATAAACCTATTGGAGTTACCCCCGTGTTTACGTGCCCGTCCTTTCTTTTGTTAGAAAGCAAACCTTGCCTGGTGGAAGGAAGCACAAAAGCAGATTCAATCCAGATTTGTCTCTGCTACAGGCATCAAAGTTTGCAAGAGGCTCAGAAGACGAGCTTCAGCAATAGGAATTTAGATTGCATAAGGGAAGGAGAAATTGCCTTGCTGGTTGCTTGGAGATGGGAAGGTAACACCTTCTGAGATACGAATGCTAAGGCGGAAGCAATCAAAAGCAAAAAGATGGCTAGACAGAAGGCAAAGAAAAGGGAAAGAAACAAAAAATGGCAGAACTGGTTGATAGGCCTGGCTGGACCTGTGCCAGTCGGATTTTACTTGAAAATACGACCTGGACAGAATACGACATGGACTAGTTACATGATCTGGATGCATTAAGCCCTGCTTAATTCTACAGCCCATGAGCTTGAGCATGTGCTGGATACACACACCCAGTTAGACTTTTTAAATTAACTTTCTCCTTATTGACATTGCTATCTAAAGCCTCGTGGTCACTTATCTTTATTGGTTTACCACCCCATGCCTAACCACCCACCCCAATACCAGACTGAGACTGAGAGCTGGGGCTGGTCTGATGAAAGCAGCTGGGGGCTGCCATTTCCACCTGCGTAAGAGATCACAGGAAGGGAGGAACAAAATGGGGTGGAAACACACCTTTGCTGGAACGGTTCCCAACTAAAATTGCTGACAGCCATTACAATTAAAATTGTTGTATCCTGGTATTTGGATGGTTGCATGCTGCCTAGAGAGCCCTTTGGACTACTAGGCAGCATATCAATATAATAATAAAATAAATATTTCAATACAGATTTTCTAATGATAGCGATTATGACGACGCTTGCTATTATTACCATTATTAATATCATTTATGCACTGTCCAATATCTGAAGGTCTCTGGGCAATTAACAATAAAAAGAGCCAGTGTAGTGGTCAAGAGGGGCTTGGGAGACTGGATTCTAGTCACTATTCAGCCACGAAGCTTGCTGGGTGACTTTGTGCCAGTGACAGGCTCTCACTTAATCTACCTTAGAGGGATGTTGTGAGAATAAAATGAAGAGGAGGGAGATGTAATGTCAGCTACCTTGAGTTCCTCGAAAGGAAAAAGGCTGGATATAAATATGATAAATAAATAAGTAACGCCTAAAGTGGCGTGGGCTTCTTCCCAGCAAGTACCGACTATAAGGTCAAAAATAAAACTACACAGGGCCGCAAACGTTTCAAGTGCAGTCTTTAGACCCACGGTGGCTTCCTGAGTCTTGTGTCACTTCTGCACTGGCATAAAATTCCATGCGTGGTCATTCTGTGGAAGACCGTCCTTTGCATCTCAACCCGAAACCATCTCAACACCTCGCTGAATCCACTTGAAATCATAAAGTTAAGCCAGGCTGCTACGCCGTGGGAGCTGCTTCCCCACCGAAATAAGCCAAGCTCAATTGTCCCCTCCCGGGCTGTACCGTAAGGGCAACACAGAGCCTGCACCAAGTCCCCGGCTTAGCACGGCTTGCTCGGCAGGGTCGCCGTTGTTCCACCCGGCCCGGGTGCACAGCCCTTCCTTACCACACGGCCCTGATGCTGACTTTAAGGCCCGGTGTCAGGTCTTCTGTCACGAATTCGCAATTGCAGCTCTTGTTGTCGGCATCAGGCATATCTTCTCCGGGAAGGCACGCTTCTGGAGAAAGCAGGAAGGAAGCGAGAAGCGTAACCAGTCAGTCTCGTACCGCTGCAGAAAGATGGGGAACACTGTGCTTTTGCCAGACAGACATTTTCGGCCATCCAGCTAGGATCCTTTGGAGGAGGGCAAAGGATGTCTGCGGTAGTTTCAGGATGGATATCTCTGATATTTCTGCCCAAGTCATCTCCCCATTTTCCCATACAGCCCTTTTGCCCCTTTCCATGCTCACTATCCTGACCTTGAAGATCAGCCAGCCAAGTTTCTTCTGCACCAGCTACAAGGGAGAGGGTGACCAGGACATGAGTTCTCAACTCCAAGGTCAAAGCACTATCTCCAACTTCGGAGCTGGGAATCCAAACTTCCCTATAGCCTCTTGGACAATACTAAGGGCCCCTTGGACTGCTTCCTCCATTTTTAATTGAGATTTATATTCTGCCTCATACCTTTAAAAGGCCCAAAGGATGGCTTACAACTAGGGTTGGAATCCGCCCCTCCAGAGACTGCGGACTTCCCCTGGCGAGTGGCCCTGTCCTGTGAGCAGAGCCAAGAGGAAGCCTCACAGGCTTGCAGACACCCAGCTGCACAGCTGGCAACCTTTCCCATCAGGCGCAGCTGCAGGATGTAAAGCAGGGGAGCTGAGAGCAGGTGCACCAGTTGCCTTTGGAATAATTAAGTCAAGGCATGGAATCATTAAGTCAAGTTGTGACAACCCGGATTCAGGCTACGTACCAGGAAAAGCTTCCTCACTGTCAGAGTAACACAACAGTGAAGCCAGCTGCCTGGAGAGGTCATGGGCTCCCCCACACTAGAGACATTCATAAAGAAACTGGATGGTCATCTGAGTGGGATGGTGTGACTTGGTGTCCTGCACCAGCAGGGGCTGGACTCGATGGCCTTCATGGCCCCTTCCAACTCTACTCTTCTATAATTCTATGAAACCAACAACCATCCTTTAATGGCTCAAGAAGAGGGAAGCATTATCTTGCATGAGCGAAAGGAGCCAATAAACTTTGCAATAAAAAAAAAAGCAAGTTGTGGAAGCCAACAGCTTTCCCAGCTCACTGCAGGCCACAACTGCACACGTGCATCAAGCTTCCAACTGTGGTGTCGTCTCTTAAGGACAGCATGGCCACAATCTCCAACAGAAGGGCCCTGTGAGGGATCAAGGGTGAATCTGGAGTGGCCTCACCTTCTGAGTTCTGCCGCGAAGCAGCTCCCTTGATGCGGAAGGCTTGCCGGGCCCGGCTGCGGTCTCCGAAGCTCCAGCTCTTGGGGACTTTGCTTGGGCTGTCCTCAATGCTCTGGTCGGCACTGGGCGATCTTCGGACGCCCGGGGCCTGAGGAGAACCTTTACCTTTCGTGGCCGCACCTCGGGGGCTGGAGAAGACACGATCTTTCAAGCTGACCTTTTGACTGTGCACAAAGACAAATCGAAACAAGACCAAAAAAAGGGGGGAGAAAGAGAGGGAGAGAGAGGAGGGGGGGAGACAAGCAGGAGGGGGGAAGTCACTCCAAAAACACCATGGCGGCTTCCCTTCAGCCATTCAAAATCAATTGTCTTTCAAAGCAGCAGCGGGAGAAGCGGCAGCAGTGAGATGTGGCTTTTAACACTAATTTGCTTTAAAAAGGCGTCTCAGGAAAGGTTTCCATGGCGATGTATGAAGATGAGGTGGGGGTCGTTAATTGAGGAGGAAACATGAGAAATGAGCATGTCAACAGAAAGTGATTCTGGAATGTGAGGTTGTGGTGCAGATGGGAAGGCCGAGGGATCGTTTTGGAAGAAAGCATTGGCTCGGGGCAGCTGTACGCAGGTAATGGGAGCAAGGACCAGCTACTTCAGTTCTGGACCTCAATTCCTGTCCTTCAATGGGACAGTGAGGAAAGAATCTCCAAGAAACAACTGTCATACACCATTTCTGCCACTATCCCAGCCCACAGTCCCACGGTCCACCAGCCAACCGGCATGACGTGGACACGCGGCTCAAAACCTTCCTTGTCCGAATCGGAGCTTCCATGTTGCGCCCACAATGCAAAGTTCTGCATCACAGTCAAGATGGGGGTGGCCATCTTGGAGATCATTGCACAGATGCATCCCTATAGTGAGTCCTCCCCCTGGCTCAAGGATGGGGGAAATGCTTAGCACTGGCTACACTGAATAGGGGTGATGTGTGTTGTCGCCCAATCACAACTGAGGGAGCCACACAATTCCCACCACTGCAGTACCTGATCTGAGAACATTTTGGAGGTTTAGAAATGGCTATTCAGAGGCATTGTAGAGGCATTAGCAAACCTTCCTACCAACCTTTTTGAATATAGCTTAGTCCTTTTGCTGCCAACCCAACTCTCATCCTTTATCTGAGTGGGATGGTGTCACGTGGTGTCTTGCAATAGCAGTGGGGTGGACTCGATGGCCTTTATGGCCCCTTCCAACTCTACTATTCTACGATTCTATATTTTTTCTACATATTAAAATGGGCAACCTACCTATCACTAACGTAAGCTGGAAGTACCAGGTGCATAACTGAATTCTCTGGGGAGTTTTCTGGAGCAGAGTTTCCCTACTTCTTTTCTGAATATTAATGGAGTGCTTCACCCTCCGAGTATCAACATCAATCAGAAAGTATGGAAGATACTAACACGCACTTTTGCCTGGAACCAGGTAGGGCCCAGAAGCAACGTGCAGAGCCCATCACGCCTGTGCTAGTGAGAGAAGCTCAAGTCTGAAACAGCACAGGGCACGGCTACTTCTCTGCAGTCAAGGCGAAGGTGGGAGGCTCAGCCTTTCACAATTTAACCTTCTGCATCCAGATGTTTCCAGATGCACATCAACCATGTGGTTTGATGTTCCATTCCATGTTCATTTGGTACTTTTTATTTGGCCCATTTGGTACTGGATTGCCTCAGCTCTGAGGCAACGTCGCTCAAGGCACTGAGGCTCCGGGGTCCGACTTTGGCATGTTCATGTTCTTGTAAATGGTTCAGAACCACAGAGCTGCATCACCCACTGGTCTGACCCATGAAACCTCTGTTCGTTCTTCTCTTTGTGTAGGCACCATTCACCACCACTGCATGTTCTCAACTTCCAATTTCCCATTCCCTAGAAATACACTGTCAGGACTGAAATCTGCATTTGTGTGTTCCATGAACTTGCATGCAGAAAAGTGATCTACTGAACAAGAGAAAGCTAGCTTGATACATTTGCCTTTGTACTGGGAAACATCAAGCATCTGAGGGATCCAGACAGGGATCTGGATAGCATGGGAGGATTTCACATGGCTTGGCTGTGAACTCAAACTAGTCTAAAACACAGTCAGGACTCCTTGTCTGTTTGTCCACCACCCAGAAAGCTTCAGCTATTGGGCAGTATAGAAAAAATTAATTAATGGCTCCAGAAAAGGAGACACACCACAGCTCCACGCGACATACTCTGTGAGTGGTCATACTCAGCCTCACACGTTCAGTCTCTGACATCTCCAGTTAAAAGCATCAGGTAGGAGGTGCTGAGAACACCGTTGCCCTGAAGCACTCTTGACTGTCAAAGCGGAAGCCAAGAGGACACACGGACAAAGGGTTGGTGGCAGCTGCTGGCCCCGACGCTGGTGGCACAGTGTGTCCACGCCAGGCTGAAGTCTAAACTCTGAAGGACCAGTCCACAGTGCTCAACCTATCTGGGAGCTAGGGAGCAGATGCATTGCCCTACAGGAATCAGAGACAAATAGTAGACGCTGGCCCAAGGCAGCCTCCTGTGCTTCCTAAGGTTAGAGCTTCCTCTCACTGTGGAAGACTTGTTCTAAGAGCTGGGCACTTGCTGGATACTCCCTGCAAACAGAGGCTCTCTTCCACTGCTCCAGGTCAGTGTTGGCTGGCCCTGCTGGTAGTTAGAATCAAACAGCACCTGCACAACTGCAGGTTCTTTATCTCCAAGGAAGGCCATCAATTGTCTCCTCCGAGGTACCTGGCATGCCTTCAAGGAGGGAGCTTCCCTAACTGTGCCAATAGAAATGCCCGGAATTAAATGTGGGTTGTTTTGCACACCAAAGACCACTGCACTATGTCCCCTATGAAATAGGCTTTCCCAGCCATTGTCTAGGAGGCTCAGACAGAAGCTTGGAAGAAGACTGAAGAAGATCCTTCCAAGGCTGTGCTGAACCTGGGCAACCCCTCAGCAATACCGAGACAGAGAGGAAATGAGGTACGTGCCGGACCTCCTAAAGGTCTCTTGGCTAGTTTCACTACTGGAGGGTAAGGCAAGCCGTAGCAGCTGCAAAGAGAGGCATCCCATACGTATACCTCTGGCGGCGCGTAAGGGAAGGAGCTGAGAAACGTTGAGGGATCAACATTCTTTCGCAAGGGGCACTGGGGGGGCATGCAGACAAGTGGAGAACTAGTGGAGGCTGAAGTCCCACAGGCGTGCGCACGCTGGAAACTGGCTGGGCTGCGGGATCACTGCGGAGGATCCCGTGTCAGAGATAGTCTGGATGACGTGCGATGTCCCACATGCTGCCGCCATCGCCTCTCCTGTGCCTGTGCGGCTGCCGTGGTCCAAAATGGAAGGAACCGATTCCTAGATGGCACGAGAGAGGATCGTGCGTGGACGGGAAAAGCCAAAGGAGGCAGCAGGGGAGCTCTTCCGAATCGTGTCGGCCTGCACGGATCCATCCGCAACGGCAACCTCCTAAGCATTCGCGAGGCTGCAGTCAACAGCGACCGCTTGGCAGGGCAGATCTGTCCCACCTGATCCATTGCAGATGACAGTCCTAGGGAGCAACATGCTATAGAGAGTGTAACTAGGACCTTCCGGATGATCCAAGTTCTATCCCTGGACTCAGACGATATGGGAAGGTTAACTAAGATTGCTGTAAACCACCCAAAGAGCTTTGGCCACGGGGCGGTATAGAAATGAGATAAAGGTATAAATAGTAAATAATAGCTACCTGTTAGGGTAGCGTGTGATACATAGCTGCAATTGGACCTTTAAAAAAGAGATCTAACATTAATTTTGTGGAACTGCTGATGCAACTGTATATTCTGTGAAAGCCCGTTACTCAGAACGACAAGAAAGCAGAATGTTCTCCATACCTATGGGGGGGAAAAAAAGCAAAGGTGCTGCTATCCTATGCAGGTTTAGTTCGTTTTTTTAAAGCATACAACTCCCAGAATGCTCTGTGTGGCATGCTGGGAGCTGTATGGCTTTTTCTGCCAAAGTTGCCAACAATGACACCCTAACTCATGAGTGATTGAGCCAGATCCATTGCTGTATTTACGGGTCCTTCAGCCAGTCGACTAGCTTCCAAATTAATTCGCTGTAGCATGCAGGCAAATTTCAGCAGGGTACAATGCTGTTGAGAAGGTCAAGTGAACTGGGGAGGAAAGAAAGTGCCAAGCCTTTGCAGCTGATTCCAGACCATGGTTCCATCTATTCAAGGTAAAGCACACTGTCTCTGAGAGAGGATATGGAGGCACCAACAACTTAGGTGGACAGGTGAAGATGGATTTGTGCACAGGTGTGATGCCGGCGAGAACATGTGATTGCCTACAGGAAGGGAGTGGAAAACTCTGCAGGATCAGCTGAACAAAATATTTAAAGTGCTGCTCCATCCAATACTAAAGCTACCAGAGCCTTCCGGTATCTTATTTAGTCTCAATAACAATGTCACCACAGATATTACGGCTGCCAGAAATAGGTTTCCTGTATTGTGTCCCTCCCTCCATTCCTGGTAACATGTAGTTTCACCTACTATGTGACAAAATATTGTCATCTCATGTGCATTTCCTTGCCCCCAACTCCACAACATGTCCAAGAAGTGGGGTAGGAAAACACACTCTGTTACGATTCCACAACGTGAATTGAGTAAAAAGGAATCTTGTAGCAGGGGGAGAAGGAAGGATATCATATCGAGTTGCTGTTTTCAGCAGTCGGAAGTAGGTTGCTCCTTTGTTTGCAGACTTGTGTCTTGCTTAGATAAATGCTTAAATGTGTAAAGGTTAAATATCTCAGGGTTAACTATAACCTATCAATGCAGTACCTTATGCACACTGAAATATTTCTAGCCCCTTCGGCTGGGTCCCTCTCAGCACATACAGTGTTCTGGCCCCTCAAGAGTCACAAAGATGGTGCTTGGTTGTTACGGGGGGGGGGGGGACCAATCATGAGCAGAAAGGGTTTGCTTTCTCAAAAGTATGTTCCATCATCCACCTGTGCATGGCTGATGGATTGTGCCAAACTGCTGTTTGCAGGCGCTCCTGTCCACATGACGGTACCCTGTACACACATGTGTACTGCACAACCGTGTAAACAGCCTACTCAAGTGCATACTCAAGTGCATACTCAAATGCATATAGATGTGACATGAGGAATTCCTGCTTCCTGCATCCTAACAGCAAAAATGTTTCCAGTGCTGCAATTCTCCAAT